GTAATATTGAACTTCTATTGAGTTATACTTCAATTTCTTAGGCACTATAGGAAATGCTTTCACTCACTGCCCATTTAATCAGCACAACAGTCCTACGAGATAGACTCTAGCATTATTCCCATTAAGCAGGTGAAGAAACTGAAATGCAGAATGGTTCAGTAATTTGTACTGAACTGAAATCCAAAATGCTCCAAAATCCAAAACCTCTTAAGTGCTGACATGATGCTCAAAGGAAACGCTCACTGGAGCATATTGTATTTCAAATTTTGTGGATTTGGGATGCTCAACCAGTAAGTGCAATGCAAATTTTACAAAATCTCAAAAAGTTCCAAACACTTCTGGTCCCAAGCATTTCGGATAAGGGACACTCAAGCCGCATGTGGTGAAAGAGCGAGGCCGGGGCAGAGGCAGGGTTTGAACCATGACATTGCTGAGTCCTGGAGACTCAGAGTACTATGGGAACAGAGAAGCATCCGCATCAGACAGCCATGCCCAGAGTGATGAAGTCACACACCAGTAAGCCTCAGAACCAAGGCCAGAAACCGGCTATGGAGCAGGTGGGTCCCAAGCCCTGGTTCCTGTAGGAACCCATCCATTTCCCATGCTACTCTTTGGGTTTACTCTGACAACTGAGGAACAAGGAAAATGCCTTTTTTCTTCTGCTAAACTCTTTCCCTAGGAAATCTCAGCTTTTCCAAAGCTTCCATTTCAAATAAGTCAGCATCACCCAAATCTGCATCTTCAAAACCTTCACGGGCATTACAGAGTCACTCATCCTTCATGTGCATCCAACTCAATGTGTCCAAACCACACTTGGGCTCCCTCTGCATCCCTCTACACCTAACCTGCTCTTCCTTCCATGTTGCCCGTCTCAGTGAGCAGCCCTGCCTGCAGCTGAACAAACCTACCTCTGCCCCATAAACCAGCTTGATCTCCAATCACCCACTTCTCTCCATCCCCCTTACCCTGCTGCGTTTTCATAACTTGGCCCTCCATCGCTCTAGCCTGGACTGTGCCATGCCTCCTATTGGGTGACCCTGTCTTGCTCATTTCCAATCCATGTCCCACCCTGAAACCAGAATAATTTTTTAAGAAAAACCGATACTATCAATTCTCTGATTGAATCCCTTTAACAGCTTTCCACTACCCTTATAAAGTCTAAACTCTTTCACCTGAATTTAAAAACTCTCCAACTTCACCTTGCCTCTTGTCACCATCCCTGCTCTTCCTATCACTGTTAAAATATTCATTTCGGTCACACAAACATCCTTCACCTCATTGAAAACTGTTTCCTTGCCTCCAGAGCTTCACTCCTCGTTTGCCTTGGCTTAGAACACTCTTCCCACTCCTGACTTCTCTGCTTGGCCATCTCCTACTCATGTTTCCAGTAATGGGTTAGACCATGGGTTGGCAAATTTATCTGCAAGAGACTAGATAGTAAATATTTTAGGCTTTGTGGGCCATGTACGGTCCCTGTTATATATTCTTCTTTCAAAAAAACGTATAGCTCTTTACAAATGCAAAAATCATTCTTAGTTCACAGGCTGTACAAAAACAGGCCACAGACTAGATTGAGCATTTAGGCCGTTGTTTGCTGAGCCCTGGTTTAGGCATCGCTTCCTTCACAAATTTTTCCAAGGCTGTCTGTCCCTTAGTGTCTTGGGTGCCCCTATATATGTTGCTACAATGCTCTGCCCTTGCCCTGCTGTGACAGAGCTTATTAGTGTTCACCAGAATTCACGCTGTCCTCTTCCTGGGTTCTCTTCCCTAGTGACTGAGTTCCGGCCAATGAATTATGAGCAGGAATGTGTGTCATTTCCAGGGCTGACCCATACAACTCCCTCACACGCACTGCTTCACGTCTACTCCATCTGGTTGACTAAGGATGGAGATGATCCCCAGAGTAACCTTGGAAACCACATGATGAAGACGGCAGAGTCACTCTCAGCCTGGATCCCAGAGTGACTGCATAGAGCAATCCCTGCCCCTACTCCTTCCCCTACACACACACACACACACACACACACACACACACACAGACACACACACAACCTGCAACCATGCTGAACTATTACATGGGAAAGAAAAATTTTCCACTCTGTCAAACAATGATGTATGGATCTACTTGTGACTGTAGCCTGGCCCACCCTAGCACACTCTCACAGCACTTAATCACACAATCACAGCTCATGTGAGTGCTTATTTAAGCTCTGTTTTCTGTGCAAGAATAGGGACCTTATCAGTCAATTCCACCACTGTCTCAAACATCTAGCATGAAGCATAGCACACTCCCAGCAAATAACTGTTGAACAGATGAGTACCTGGGATCTCATTTATCAGAGAGCCCTTGGTCCCATGCCTGGGTGGGGGCAAGTATTGAAAGGCCAGGAGCACAGGGGAGAGCACTCACCTTCTTTGCTAACACCCAGGCAGCCCTTCAGCTCGGGCAGTGAAATCACCTTGTCTTTGTTCAGGTCACAGTAGTCAGTGAAACGCCGGGCACATTTCTTGGGCTTGGCTTTCTTCTTCACATAGCGCTTGAAGGGCTTCATCTCCCGCTTGTTAATGTCATTGCTGCTATTGCTGTCCAGCTGGCTGAAATACCAGTGCACCACTCGCTCCTCCAGGGTGTGGCTGGGGTCGGGCTCTGAGAACCTGGGCCATGGACAAACACCCCCACCCCAGAGAACACCACTCAGGATCTTGCAGGAAGCATCAGCCCTGGTATGACTGCGCCCGAGAAGGTCAAGTAGAAATGGCTCCTCCAAGCCGAAGTCCACCCAGAGCGGCTCAGTCTGTGATGGCATCAAGCCATCCTCTCCGACTCAAATCCCAAGATTGGACCACTCTTCTCAGGGCTCCCCAAGTGGGTAATCCTTATTACACAAACATGCCTCACCCTCTACCAAAACCAGAAATGTTCTTGTACACAATGGGTGCTCAAGACAAATTGGCTTGATCTAATTTGCTGAATAAACCAGAGCTGGAATCCAAACTGTCCTTCCCCTTGCCTAGCACTCACTGCGGACCAGCTGCTCATCACACGTAAACATGTGCCCTGGGGTGGATGTAACTGTGGGGAAGATGCTGTGAGCACCCACTGTACACCCAGTGCCAGTCCAGGACCTGGAGGGTGCACCCCTGGCCTCAGGTGGCTCACTGTCTCTAGTAGACAGAGCCAAAAAGGTGAAAACAGTCATGACAACTAAATGTGGGGTGTGAGGTTCCCATGGTCCATCACTGCTGGACACCCCATGCAGTGGGAACTGAGAGAAGAAAGCAACTAGGACAGATATAAACAAAAGTTCTAAAACTGGAAAAGCCTGGACCTACTGGGGATGAGTCTCTCTAGCCGGAGGTTTTAGTCAAGGGGTCTGGGGCAGACCCAGGAAACCACATATTCACCAGCATCACCAGGTGATTCTGCTGAGAAACGCTGGACTGGAGTCACCAAGAACACGTCCTGGTGTCCAGATGCAGAGTCACAAGCGCGTCTAACACAGCCCCTCGTCAGGTTACAAGACCAACATCTACATCTACATGTGTAACTACATGCAATGGCCTACCCATCTACGTTATTTACTTAACTGTGTCCTATTTTCTCCCAAAAAGGAGTCAGGGTGATAACTACTATTTACAATTTTTAAAGCCAACAATGGGTCTATGATAGAGGGGCTTCCTGGGATCACTAACCAGGAGAATGGAACCCCATGAGCCCCATGGCTCCTGTTCCCAGGGTTTGACACTGAGTGTATGTGATCTAGTGTATGTGATCAGGTGCAGCTTCCCCTGGGGAAGGAGAATAAGGTTGAGGTTGGGAGTCCCACACATTCACATCCTCAGTGTGCAGGGCACTGGGACAGAGTGCATGACTACCAGAGGTCAAAAGACGGGCAGAGGGCTCACTGTTCCACAGGGATCCTAGACCAGGGTCCAAGGCCTGTCTGCACATTCTGAAGCTGTTCCTGGTGGGAAAACTATTCAAGGCACTTGTCATGCCACCCTCTCTTCTCTGGGGTTTGCTGAGTTTTCCAGAAGGGAGATAATCTCTGACCCCTCCCCTGTGAACAAGCCAGCAAACTCCCTCCTCTTCCATCCCCCCAAATAACCTCCAAGTTCAGCGAAAAATAAGTTCCATTATGGGGGGGAAAAACAGCCAGTCATCCATCCTTGTTAGATGCCTATTCCTAATTAGGTGAATTTCAGTCTTGGGCAGGTACTCCAGGCATCCTGGACTGATTCCAGGAGGACGCAATTAGTGGATCTGCCAAGGGGACCTCATCCTGACAGGTTTAACTCAGAGAGTACCTGGCGGAAGGTGTGAGGGGGCCATGGAGAGCTGCCAGCTGCCTCTAACTCTTAGGAAATCTGCTTAGTCTGTCATGGAAACCAGGCTCAGGAGGTCTTTGAAACAGGCATGAAGTTATTCACTGCAAAACTCAGATTTTGTCTCCGCCAGCATACACAGTATTCTGAGGTTTTCCATCTTTCCCTATTTTACCTACAATATTCACTCTTAAGATGTCCCCTGCAGTGTATACCAGTTGCAAAGGCAGAAAATTCTGTTGGAATGCTGTTGGTGCAGGTAGGGGAGTGACCTGCCTGTCTCTGCCTTTCCCCAAATAGCAGGGAGGACACAGGCTGCGGGGGAGAGACGGAAGGCCCCTAAGGAAGGAACTCGGTTCTCTCAGGCAATGGGGGAGGCAGTCAGGGACCTTCCCACTCAGCCCCTCGCCAGGAGCCATGAGGGTTCCAAGGCAAAGGCAGCTCTTCCTTTAACCTTTAGGCTCAGTATAGCGTAATGTCTACCTAGAGGCTGGAATAATAAAGCCTCAGTCACTGAGACGGGAAGGGATGAGGTCATCCCACCCAGAGGCCCTGCCAGGGGAGGCGCGCTCCCTCCAACACATGTTTCTGGGGCTCCCGCCTGTCCAGCTTTCAGCAACTCCACTGATAGAGCTCTGCCACCCTCCTTTGCGCTGTTTTGCAGCAAGAAGCAGTTCTTCTGACTTTACAACCTCCAAGAGTTTCCTTACATGCCTGAGAGTGACCATCATCTGGCTCCTGCCCCTTTCCCTGCTTTTCTTCTGATTTTCCCTTCTTGACATCTCCTTGCCAGAAGAACAACATTTTGACTCTCTTCACTCCCACCAAGACCTCCCAGTGCAGGGCAGCCACAGCTTCTGATTGCTGCCCCCCACCCCGCCTGGCTCCCAGCCAGGGTGGAGATGTGCAGCGTTCACTTCCTCAGGAGAGATTCTCTGAGCCCCTCCAAGGAGTGCCTCTGGGCTCCGTCTAACACTGCCATGACCCACAGCCTGCCCTGTGAGGCCCAAGGGTCCTGCTGCCTTCCTCCCTCCTTCCCAGCTAGCATGATACTCTCTGCTTCTGAACTCCTTTGGCTGCCAAAACAACTCCCAAACTCCCAAGTAAGAGAGCCCTACCTCTACCTGTAAGCTGGGTAGCCCTAGGGTCATCTTTGGAATTCAACACTTTGGCCAGGCCAAACTCCAAGTACATTAATAGCAGAAATTTTCAGCTTTGAGTCCATGAGGGATTATGAACCCTCTGAGAGCCTATACAAAGATATGAGCTCTCTCTCTAGAGAAATGGACATACACAAAGAAGTCTGCAGATTTTAGGAGATTAATGGACTCCCTAAATCCCATTCAAAGTCCATGGACTCAGGTTAAAAAGAAAAAAAAGACAAAAAACAAACAAACAAACAAACAAAACCCTTGATCTAGAGGAATGGAGGCTCTAGCCATGGCCCAAGAAGAAGATGCTTAAAGAAGATGGAGTGAGACAAAAGACAGCAGCTGGAGGGGTTTGGGGATAGTTTCCCTACTTCCAACAAAACTATTGAAGGCAATGGATTTAAAAACTCTGTAAATCAAGTTTCTGACCTGGCAACAGCCTTAAGTCACAGATGAAGTTGACAGCAGGTACCCACTATGCTTTGTACAAGCTCTTGGCTAAGACTGAGATCCAGCAGGAGTCCTAGCATAGCAGTAAGTGTGTACAAAAGAAGACCCAAGAGGCCTCTGTTAACTGAACAGAATCTGAGATTTTTCCTGGGGGAGTGCTGGATAGACATGGAGCAGGGAGGCCTCCCCCAGAGCTTCAGGAATCTCTCGAGCAGTCTTTGCTGGAGACTTTCCATCACAGTTAGACCCCCTCAACCACAAAGCCATAGCCCAAGAAAGCCCAAAGCCTTGCCCCTTCCCCTCCCAGCTCCAGGCTTACACTGGCCTCAGGCTCCCAACCTGTCTCACATGAGCACACATATATTCCTGGAGGTTAGGACTGCTGGATTCAAAGCTGCTCATCAGGCAAAGGCTGGGGACCTAAGTGAGAGGGAGCAAGGGCTCCGCAGGATCAGCGTAACAGCACTCACTTGTCCACACTGCAGACTTCTCCATGGGTAAAGTTCTACTTCTACTAAAAGGGCTCACTAGGTAGGTAAAATATCCAAGTTTCCTTGGATATGGTATGAAAAGACACACCCAAATGATACCAAATTCCAGATTTTAGAAGACTATGGTTCAGACAACATGAGCCAGACAATGCTAGTGTCTGCCCTACCTCTGGGCTGTTTTTGTGGCTGTCCTGTTGACTTCTGCCTCCAGGATGAGGAAACCCACTAGAGCCAAGTTCCTCCCCAAACTGGCCCCACGGAGCCTTCTCCCAGTTTCAGAGGTGACACAGGCCACCCTTCTCCCACAGCACTTTCAGTTTTGCTTCTGCAGCCTCAGCCTCGCCAGGCCTTGGCTGCAACGCACAGCTGGAGAGCCAGCTCCGCTTACCACAAGGAAACCTGCTTTGGCCAAGATCTTGGGCCCAGTTCTGCTGTCCTAAGCAGTTTTAGAGAAGGTAAGGCGGGACTGCCTGGAGGCACTAGCCAAGCCAAGCAGACCAACTGAGCCCCATCTGGAGTTGGGTCCAGGCCCCGCCAGCTGTGCGGGTGCGGCTGGGAAATGCCAAGTCAGCCACATTCCAGCCTCTTCCTTGCAAAGCCATCAACGGGCAACCACACTGGGCAGGAAGGAGGAAGCCACAGTACGGTCTCCCCTCGGGGGACCACGTGAAGGGCCAAGAGGCTCACACAGCCCTTCCCACCTCCCCTCAAAGTTGACTTTCCGTAGGGGAGGGTGGAGCCAGGAGAGGGTTCCCCTGCTCTAGAAGACTCTGCCGGCTGAGATCTCAGAAATCTTCCTTTGGGACTGATAAATGCTAATGGGTGCCGTGGGAAGGCTGATCTAACGGGGAGCACTGCCTCCTGGAGCCCTGGCCAGAGGGGCCAAAGGGATAACTCACTCACCCAGAAAACATTCACTGTGAGGGACTATCACCCAATGACATTTGCAAGGCACCCCCTCCCATGCACCTGCCATAGAGTTTTCGCAGACACCCCATTCTACTCTATTTTTAGATATTTGTGGCACTGCTTTTTGCTACTAAATCAGGCCAGAAAAGGGAGTAAATGCCTCCCACTCTTCCACTCCCCACATCTAGCAAGTCTTGAAATCCTATTGATTTCTTTATAAAAGCTTCAGCAAATCATCCTTTTCCCACGGTCCATGCCCTCTTCACCTTTCACGTTGGCACTTGCTATCATCTTCCTGTCTACCTTGCTCCCCTCCAATCTCCCTTCCATAGTGCCATCAGGATGACTCTGCAAAAATGTCCACCTAACCCTGCAGCTCCCTTCTGCCCTGCATCTTGAATCCCAGGGCCTGGCACCAGCTGGGCTCTGTCCAGCTCTGCAGCCTCATCTCCCCAACCCAACTGCCAAACGTAAACCATATTACTTCTTACACTTCCCTCCACACTCCCTACCCTGTTCAATGTTCACACCTCACTACCCATATGGTCCCCTCTGCTGGAAAGCCCTTACCCCTGGTCCATCTAGGTCAGGCATTTTCCCATTCATAAGTGAAGATGGGGCTCCACGGTCGCTCCCATGGAAAGCCTTTCCTCGCACGCCCTGGCTTCCCAGGGTCCCTACAACACTTTCTCAGCCTCTATTATCCCACTGACTTTGTACTGCAGTCATGCGGTTGTTCTGTATCTCCCCTCCAGGCCAGAAACTATCCCCTTTTCTTCAGATGCCCCAGAACCTAGCATGGAGCTCATACCAGGGGCAGGTTGAAACGTGAGAGTTGATGCAAAGCCAACATCTCCATGCCCGACAGGAAGTAGACTGGGAGGAAGACACCTTTTTTCTGTACTGTTCAAACATCTTCTATCCCTTTTTCCCACTGTCCCCAAGTGGGACTGTTTCCCTGGCCTCAGCTGATGTCTAGCTTTAACTACTAGAGTCTGAGAGGATAAAGGAGGGATCAGATGTGGCTTCCTTAACCTCATGCCTGCAGCCCCAACTCTGCCTGAACTCCACAGTCAAAGCCAAAACCCAGGATGCCTGGATTTCCTAATTGTCTTCGTCAGTCCTGTTCCAGACATGCTACCTGACCTCCAGCTTCCCCATGCCTCTGCTCCTCCATCACACAAGAGGGACAACTGGCCAAGGTCTGTCTGCACGGTGCTCCAAGTCCCTGGGTCCCGGCCAGGGTGGCCTCAGGCCCTGGTTACAAAATAGCACCACAGTAAACTTGACAGCTGGCTCCAGCCTTATACTTGGTCTTTTGGTGGTCGGGGTAGACCCTCTGATGTGTGCCAGAAAGAGGTCTTATCAAAACAGGGATTCATCCATCTATCCCTGTCCCTCTAGCTATTTATTCATTTAACATATTTTATTGGGCACCTACTATGTTCCAGGCACTAGTCTAAGCTCTGGGAATACAGGAGGGAAGAAGACAGAAAATGTTTCTTCTCTCATAGAACTTAAATTTTCACTGGGTTTGGGGAGACAGACAATGTATCAACAAGCCAGCAAAGTATCAGACCTTTATATATGCTAGGCTGAGAGTTAAAAGGGGTGCTGAGGTACAGGGTAAACAGGCAGCTCTTGCAGATTGAGTGGTCCTGGAGAAGGTGACATTTAAATAGATAAGCAGGGGCCAGTCATTGGAAGATGGGGAACTGAATTCTAGGAGCAACTGACATACAGGTCCTGGAACAGGCAAGAGCTTGACTTGTTCGAGGAACCAGAACTGAGGAGAACCAGGAGAACCAGTGCCTGGAACACAATGGTGGGAAGGAAAGGAATATATAAGGAGAGGTGGGGCCAGCTAGGTTGTCCTGAAGGGCCAGCCCAGGTCAGAGTTAGGGCTTATGCTGAATATAGTGGGAAGATCTGGGACGGCCTTAAAACCTGTTACTACGCTGGTAACCCTGGTAGCTACCTTCCTGGATAGCAGTTTCTCTCTTTCTTCTCCCTTCCCCTACCCACTTCCTTGATTTCTAAACTATTTCTTGGAGCATCTTGTCTGTCTTTTGACTAAAGTCCAGCCTCTAGGTAACATAACTACCAAAGGCAGTTCAAATCTTTCATTCCCATCTAAACCAAGTATAGTCAAGCTAATATGAGCTTAAAATGAAAAACATGTTTTGAAAACAATTATTTTTTTGAAAAATCTCTTCCAACTCTAAATTACACCTAAAATAGAATGGAAAAAAGATCCTCTTCCCTAAGGACACACTGATATTAAAAAATCATAAATTTCTTAGCTTCCATTGCCTGTAAAAATCCCTTCTGTCTGTCATTTGAGGATAAGGCACAAACCTACCTTCCTTCCCCTGGCAGCAGGGCCCATCTGCGTCCCCCACCTACAGCGGAGACCACGCAGTGCTCTTGGGAAAGCAGCCAGGGGGAGCTTGAAGTCCTGCCTCCTTAGGACTCAGGCAGAACTACAGGTGGGACCCCTGCGCTGGGGGGCAGTGCCAGGAGCCTGCAGGAAGGTGTAAATGGGAAGCCCCCAGACCAGAAATTTTTAAGCCCATGGACCTCCTTTTTTTTCTTTTTCCCTCTCTTCTAAACATAATTATAAACACAAAACATAAATCTTTCATGCCTGTTTTTGCATGAAACAACAGGTTTTTTTTTTCGTATTCTAAACACAAATAACATAAAGGTCAACAATACTGAACGTATGAATCTTTCATGCCTGTTTTTGCATGAAACAACAGGTATTTTTTTTCATATTCTAAACACAAATAACATAAAGGCCAACAATACTGAACGTGCCTTTTCAAAATTCACCTCTTCCCTCTTCTCGGAGATCTGTATGCCATCCTCTCTATCTCGGAGACTGAGCAGCGGAGTGCCACGGGCCGCCTCCAGTAGCTCCCGTCTGTGGGCCTGTTGAACCCTGTCTTCATCTTTCTCAGACATAGTGCTGTGCTCCTCCTGGAGGAAGCCGGGCCCCCACCCACAGGTTGGCAGAAACAGAGCCACAGCCAGAAACCAGCCTCAGAGCTCAGAGGACCATGGGGGTGCTCAGGGCAAACACCCCAACAAGCAGTTTCCAAGATGGGCAACTACTGCATTCACTTTTTTTTCTCCTTTCATTTTTTTTTTGTTGTTGTTGATGATTTTATGTGGTAAGAACACTAAACAGGAGATCTAGCCTGTTAACAAACATCTAAGTGTATAGCACCGTGCTGTTAACTATAAGGACAATGTTGGTTAGCAGATCCCTGGGACTCATTCATCTTGCTTTGCTGAAACTTGACACCCATTGGTTAGCAACTCCCCAAACCCCTGGCAACCACCATTCTACTCTCTGCTTCTACGCATCTGACTGTTTCCGATACCTCGTGTACGTGGAATCATGCAGCTTTTGTGCTTGTGACTGGCTCATTTCACTTAGCAAAATGTCCCCAATAAAACAGGATTTCTCTCTCTTTTAAGACTGAATATTACCCCACTGTATACATATACCACATGTTCTTTATTCATCCATTGATGGGCACTGAGGTTGTTTCCATATCTTGGCTATTGTGTGCACTCACTTTGATTTGATATAAAATTGGATTTTCAAAATGGCTGCCTTTGTCTGCCTCAGGATGCAGAACTGTCAACAGCTCTGCTTGGAGCCCTAAATTCCTACCCTAAACACATACCACACAGTCCTGCCAATCACCACTGAGGGAGCCATGCTGGGGTCCTTCCGAGGCCTAGGCTTTTTCTCTTGGTTGCATTCCTTGCCTTATGGATAACAGCTCTGCCTCTGGGCAGATGCCGGGGAACTAGCGCTCCCTCCTCAGTGAGCCATATAAGTTCAGAGGCAGGCTTCCCATCTCTGCCAAGCCTAGGGTACCTCTCTTGCTGCTGTAAGGAGCCTAAACACCCCCCTGCTTGTCTCCACCAGTCCCTGCTGTGCTTCCCCAACTGGCTTCATAAGCAGAAGTCTTACTCAGCATGTCTCACAGGCCTTTTGGGATCTGAGTCCTGCCCATCTCTTCCATCTCACGATTACCACTCTTACCTCCTCCGCTTCCTCCTCCTCTGACTATCCATCCCAGCCCAACCTAACTGAACCATAGACATGCACTTTCTTGGATCCACAATATCCTTTCATCCTCTCTGGAATAGCTTTCTCTTTTCTTTGACCGGCTAAGTCCTACCTATCCTTTAAAACTCAGCTCAGATATCACCTCCTCCAGGAAGCCTTTTCTGACTCCTTCAGACTGAGTTAGACAACCATTCTCCGTTCTTCCACCTCTGTCCTAGCACTCACCACACATTTTGTAAGTATCTATCTATGGTGTAGTATCCCCACTAAGCTGCATCCTTTGAAGGTGGGACATGCCTCTATCCCCAGATACCTTGTCCTTAGCCCAGTGTTTGCTGTGTCTTCCATGTTCAAAAGGTGGTAAGCAGATGGATGAATGCACACATGCATCTCCAACCAACTGGCCTAAGGGGCCAAACTCACGAGTGCCAGCAATGCTGGTTACTGGGGAGCATGTGCATTTCAGCCTTAGGTCAGGACTGCCTCAGCTACCACCTCAATTCCTGACCTAAGCTGGATTTGGCTGTATGAGTGTCCAATTCCATTGCCAAGAGCTCCTTGGAATTCTCAGGATGCCAAAAAGGCATTTGGTTCCTGCCCTCTAGGAGACAAGAAAATCACAAAGTGCTTTGTGCTTCCTCTCTGTCCTCCCTCTCTGTCCTCCCTGTCCCCATGATACACCCATCACCCTTCTTGCCATTCAGAACTCTCACTCCAATCCATCCCCTTCTGAGATTAAACAGCTGGAAGTCCCAGACAGCCCTGGACTTTCCTATAAAGCAGGTAACTAAAAGCTAGGGACAAGCAGCTCCCAAAGAATAGGGAAGGTAGAGGGGCAGGAAGATTTTTGGCAGAAGGCAGGTCAAAGCTATGGGGACATGGTTTCAGGAAAAAGATCACCTTCTAGCCCTTGCCCTCCGCAAACCCTGCCCGCTCTCCCACCCTCCCTCAGCATCTGAAAAGTCAGGGGCCCCACATTTTTCTCCTGGGCCTGATTCCTGCTCACATTCTCACCTCCCACCTCCAGTGGGTGCTGCTGAGTTAATGGCCTGAACCATGTCAGTGGTGAGAGCATCCAGTAGGCTGGTGATAAACTCCATTTTCTTCCCTTCTGGACAGCCTAAAAGATAAAATGAGATTTGAAGGTAGATGCCAGGTTATAATCAAGTCAATAGCTTTCTCAACTACCATCCTTTCCTGAACTTCTCAAAGCCCTTCTTGTCCAGCCAAATCCACTTTAGGGATTTGTTTACTGATCAGAGGAGTCTCATAAACTTCCATAGTTCCTTTACCCATACCCCACAAAGGACCATCAGACCAAATAATGCTTTCAATTTTCTTCCATTCCACACATTTTTGCTAGACATCAACTCAGGCACCATGTTAAATGCTAGAGATACAGCAGTGAACAATACAGAAGGTCCTTATCCTTGTAAAGTTCACATCTACAGGGGAACCCAAGCTAATAGCCAAGCAGTCATCCTAAAGCGAGAAAAATACTGTGTTATGGGTAAGAACTAGGGGCTGTGGGAGCACAAGACAGGGAGAGAACCCCCAGTGGTCAAAGTTGACTTAAGTACACCTACCACCAGATCCACCCAAGAGTGTCCTCCTTTTTTCACTTCCCTCCTCATCCATCTTAGATTATAACTACAGCATCTCTCTTGCCAGTACTCTCAAGTCCTTTGTTCCTTTTTTCCTCCTTGTACTATTCCAGCAAAACACAGTAAAGCACAGATGAACCTTCTATAGATACACCTTTTCCATGTCTACACCACATAGCTGGGGAAAACACCACCACACAATTGGATAAATGGGTGTTCTATAAAGTCACGATCACCAGCACCAGATGGGCCTTCTACACTACTCCCAATGCTCCTCTCCACAGCAACTCCACACAGAAATGAGCAACTAGCTCATTCTCTTCTGTCCCCAAATCCTCCAGGTCTCAGGTTCAACACTTGCTTCTCAGAGAAGCTGTGGAATCTAAAGTAAGTTCTCCCTGCCATTCTCACAGCACATTCTGCTTTTCCTCCAGAGTACCCACCATGACTATCTATAAATGCTCATATTCATTTATTCATATCCTATCTGTCTCCTTCACTCTGTAAGTCTCATGTCAACTTTGACCACTAGATTATACCCAGTGCCTGGCACATAGTAGAATCTCAATTCACATTTGTTGAGGGGTTGGCTAAAAGGGATACCCTGGCCACCATGACTCCATTTTTGTGATGGGGTGATTTCTACAAACCTCGTGTGGAAACTCCCTGATTTTTGGAACTTTCTGCTTTCAGTTCTCACTTGGAGTCCTGATATGTCATGGAAAGGTGGCCCATTTCCCACCAGCACTAATCTGACTTCGTGCTGTGTAAGGAACTAATCTGACTTTGTGCTGTGTAAAGAAAACAAGATTCCAAGCCACCAACATTAAGTAATTTTACTGTAACCTGTAGGCAGAGATCACTATAAATAAGGGGAAACCCACAAAGCAGCCGTCTGGAGGTCCCAGGGCCCTGCCTATGTGTCTTGTGTCACACTCCATGATGGTCCTGTGTCACCAGAGGTCATCTGCCTCTTCAGAGCAGGCAACAGACACTGTCCGCATCGCTCAGGACAGCCCCTCCCTGTAAGCTATCTTATCCTCACAGCCCTGGAAAAAATAACTCACAGTGCTCAACACATTGTCCTCATGGACCTCAGATGGACAACGCATTGTGGAATTGCAGAGACAGGATTTTAACCCGATGACTGCATTATAAAGACGAAGAGGCACAGGGAAGAGAAGCAACGTGCACAAGAGCACAGAGCTAATTAGGGATAAATCCCCGACCCGGATGCAGATCCCACAGCTCCTGGCTCCATCTTACATATGGGGAAACAGACAAAGAGGAAGCAGCTTCTTCTGCATGATGAGAGGGTGGAGGAACAGAAGGAGGTGACGGTGCCGGCAGGGCCAGCATCGTCTCCCACCTGGTAGCTCCCTGTCCTTGAACGGGTCATCCACCTCTGTACTCTTGGCCCTGGCGTCGCTCTCACAACTGGGCATCACGTAGCTGAGAAAAGAGAGATATGGGGGGGTTGGGAGGGGCAGGCAACTGAGCCTACTTCAGTCAGTCACTACTGCCCAGCAATGATCTATGTTGTCACCAAGCCTAAAGCACCGAAGGTGGGCAGCACGATATCCCTTGTGCTGTCCGGCAGCTACAAGGCAATCTTAGCGTCAATGTTCCCATTGCGACATGTTCAGGCATGTCATTTCAACCACTCAAGCATAATAACAATGATACTTGAGCTGCACGCAGTATCTTTTTTGATCCATGGAACTGAGTGGCTTAGAAAGGGCAATAATCTCATCAGGAAACTGACGTTCAGAGAGGTTAAGTACTGTTCCAAGGTCTTAAGTTAGAAAGAGACAGGCCTGTGACCAGAATCCAGGTCCCAGGGTCTTTCTACCTGAAAGTCTTCTACTCGTTGAAAACATTGCTCTCCCAGGCACTCCCACCAAACCAGGGCAGGAACGCTGGGAGATGCCAGCATGCCTAACAGCCAGCAGGTCCCTTTTCCCAGGACTCAGCCTGGGGGCCTTACCGTGTGGAGGTCCCAGGCAGCGGGCGCCCTGTGTCCACCAGCACACACCAGCAGTAGCCAGTGGACTGATGGCACTGCACTGGCTTATAGAGTCCCCCAGGGGCACACTCAGGGATGACAATACCCTCACGGGGATTTTGCCGGGCCTCTTCCAGGGCACTCTGCCTCTCCTGGTCACACGAGTAGACTTTCTCTGCAAGAGAAGACACAGCCTGTGGTGACTGTCACTCCTGTGATTTAACATTCCTGGCTTCTGTGTCCAGCACCCAAAGTAAGTAGCAAGGACCAGGCCTGGACCCAAGGAACTGATGAGCTGCCCCATTGATGAATTACCACGGAGAGCTGTCTCCCATGTCAGCGCACGCTGAGGGGGCTAGAGGTTCAGAACCTCCCTATGGCCATCTCTGCTGCCAGCATTCATTAGCATTCCCACCAAATAGGTTCAACTGCAGCAACAAGCCAGCCAGGGACTCCAGGGATGCCCCTTCTCAGAGTGGCAGCTTGTCCGGAAGGTGGAATATCTCACTGTTTTCATAGTGGCTCCTATGGATGCTGTCTAGGGCTGCAGGAGAGGTGGGTGCAGGAGCCTGGCTACCCTGCAAGCTGATACAGGAATGCCTGTGCACGTAGACCCTTCCAAGCCCAGACACAGCCGGATGGAGCCGTCGCCATCAGCCTCATGTGGAGTGATGCTCAGCACCCAGGAGGAGCAGAAACAAGGTCCAGCCTTGGCTCCTCCCCACCCTCCAACACTGCTGAGCAAAGCAGGTAGAGTGAATTTCAGTGAATTACACAATGCTGCTTCCATCCAATGGGAGAGAAAACAGGCCCAGCCGGATGGTGTCTGCAGTCAGCAGCCTCAGGAACACATGAGCATGTCTGAACAGTCAAACCTGGTTTCCCCCGAGCCAGTCCCCGGCTGAGACAGTGCATGGTACGCTGTGTCCAGCATGGCCAGCTCCAGGGCGTCTCACATCTGCACAGCCACTTACCTGAAAATTCTTCCCAATCAACCACTTAGCCTGCCTGGCTTCCCTTTTTGTTTTTTTCTGGTTTTGTTTTTGTTTTAATTATTAAAAATAAATAGTGTTGGATTTCTTATTATAAAGAAGTTTAAAAAAAGAAACTTTGGAAAAACCTATAATCCTGCCAAAGTTAAACACTGTACCTTCCCTAGATTTTATGTACATACACACATGGAAATACAGGTGCACACATCTTCTTTTTTGATAACAAAAGAATCACATCATAAACCTATACTATTACTTTATTTTTCATTTACTTGTTTATTTACCCACTGTATTTTTTTCATACCACTATTCTACAACTCTTCTCTTGAAGAAGTTGACAGGAATGTAGTCTTGGGCATCCCACTGAATGTTTACAGATTGTTACAAAAATAGCCTTCTTAAGAGCAAGGAACTTGGTATCAGCAACCTGGAGAACCATGCTGTGCACTGAACAACAGCACAAGCAATCAAAATAACAGACACTCAACTCCACTTTAAAGAAGCCGAGTTCCTTGAAATAATGGCTCTGTTAATGACACACATATAGGTAAAGCGTGCATGTTTAAACAAACCATGGGAGTACACAGAGACACAAAGTAGCTCAATGCAGTTTTACAGATAAGTCAGATGATAGAAAAACAATGCTATGTCTCACTGCTAGGAAAATGCTCGAAAACAATAGCCTGGTGATTCTCGTTGCAGGGTAAAAATATTTCCTTAGGGGCATAAAAATATCTAAGGGCCAGGAGGCAGGCACATATAGCATATTCACTATTAAAATAGAAAATGTAATTTTGAATTTGGGAAGTGAAAAAAAAAAAACTACTGTTTTCATAATGCAAATATAGAAAAGCTAAACAGAATCTCCTTGGCTAGAGGAAGAGGAGTTTAAAACAGCTGACAGACATCAGACTTGGGATTCTGCCTCCAACTGTGACTACCACCAGAACAGCATCTAGAGGCAGGAAAGAGACAGAAACTGAGCAGGGAGAGGGGCCTTGGGAAACCTGGCTTAAAGATCCAGCATTTTGACTTCAGCCCCTGGCTGGGAAGGTGCCATGGCAACTTCAAGAGGATTATGCAAGAATTTTTCAATAGCTCCCCCAACCCCAATTTGGTAGCCTTATTTTCCTACGTCGTATTTCATGCCATGAAAGAGGCAACAGAGGAGCAAAACCAAAGGAAAACAGCTTTTTACTGGCACCACGTTCATGTAACAACCTCTGACAGAGGCTTTAAATTAAGACTCTCCAGGCCAACCTTCTAAAGCCATAAATCAGACTGAAAGCAAGAGGCAAAGAGAGAAGGGGGGATCTTCCCCAGGGGCAGAGCGAATAATGAACCTGACTTCACACCACTGGGGGTCCCAAGACCCTAGGAAATGTGGACAGGAGCCATCTAAGAATAGGCACAGACCCGTGATTAAGGCCCTGTTGATGGATTTCTGGAAGTCCTTGAAGGCTGTTCTGAGCTGTTTATAGTCAGTGTCTATGAAGTTCCATGGAGAATAAAATCATTAAAATGCCAGGCTCAGTGGCTCATGCCTATAATCCCAGCATTTGGGAAGGCTGAGGCAGGCAGACTGCTTACCCCAGGAGTTTGAGACCAGCCTGGGTAACATAGCAAGACTCTGGCTCTACAAAACAAAACCAAAACCAAAAGCAAACACAAAAAGTAGCCAGTGTGGTGGCACATGCCTGTAGTCCCAGCTACCCAGGAGGCTGAGGTGGGAGGGTCGCCTGAGTCCAGGAGGTTGAGGCTGCAGTGAGCCATGATCATGCCACTGCACTACAGCCTGGGCCACAGAGTAAAACCCTGTCTCAATAAAATAAAATAAAATAATGAAAATGATAAAGCTCACTAATTTGGAAAAATGGGGTATAGCAAAGAATTTTTTTAAAAGCCTGAATGCAGGCTTTATTTTATTATTTTTATGATTGATTTATTACTTCATTACAGTATCTGCAAGTCCAGGTGCCTCTAAGAAAGAGACAGGAGTGATTTATCATAATAGCACTAACCCCCTGTGAAGAGTACACAGAGAGTTGGTCTCACAGCAAAGAGAAAATCTCCCTTAAAATCATCTTTACAACTAATAACAATAAAAACAAACATTCATTGAGTGATATGTGCCAGGCAATAGACTAAGGGCTTTACCTGATTAATCCTTTGCCCATATGAGGTAGGCACTATTATTATGCCCATTTTGTAGACAAGGAAACTGAACGTTGGAGAGATTAATGGATTTTCCCAAGTTCACTCAGCCAGGAGAGAGAAGGGCCGGGGATCCTGACAGTCAGGCTTGACTTGCTAACCTCTAGACAGTGTTGCCTCTAACCATTTGCTCTAGGAAACAAATAAATTTATTTTTACAGTGAGCTTTTCTATGTCAGTGTCTTTGTAGACTATCCCAAATCTGCTGCATTCAAAACCAAATGTTCTGGACACAGCACAGCCTCTTCTAAACAATGATATCTTCTCAACCTACACAAACTACAGATCTTGTACCTGGATATTTTTCTCTCTTTGCCTCAGAAGCAGAAAACTTAATACCAAACTTAACTCACCCACCATTGTAGAACTATAAAATGAACAAAAATAGCTACCATCTGTTTGAGTATTTACCATGGGCCAGACTTGGTATTAGGTGCATTATTTGTATTAACTCACTTCAAATTCATTACAAACCTTTAAAGGCAGTGTTGTTATCCTCATTGAACAGAAAAGGATGCAGAAACACAGACTGGCTGAGAAATTGGATCAAGATCAAAGAACTAGGAAGTGGTAGAGCTGACATTTCAACACTGGCTGGGTGCTTCACCTCTCTGCAAGACCATCTTGACACAGAATAATCTGATTTTTATTCTAACCTATATTTTTCTTTTACTCAGTATAGTTCATCTCATTACAAAACAGTCCTCACTGAACTGTGCCTCCCTGTGATCATGCCCCTGTGTGGACCCCTCACATGGACTCTGGTTTGCTTTGGCCAATAGAATGTTGGAGGCAACGCTGATGCTGTGTGTCAGGCTGAGGCCTCAAGAAGACTTGCAGCTCTGGCTTTCACTTTTGTGGAAGCTGCCCTGAGATCACCAGGAGGAAGCTGGTCTCGCCTACTGGAGAACAAGAGGCCACAGAGAGGAAAGGGAAGCAACTCAGCGAGTAGATGTGAGAGGGAGGTCACCTTGTACATTCCAGCCCAGCTGATCCTCCCCCACCTGGATGAGTCCAGGAGTAAATTCAGATAAAACAAGTACCCAGCCAACCCACAGATACATTAGAAAGAATAAATTATTTTTATGGTAAGCCAGTACATTTTGGAGCAGTCTGTTACACAACAACAGATAACTGAAACATCTAGACCTCCTCAACTATTCATCAACTTACCTTATACATATTTTTGTAGCCCTGTAAGCCCTTCAATCAACCAATCAATTATTCTTGAAGGGCTTCTCTAGAGGTTATGGGTCATGCAGACGCTAATCAGTAACTACCACAGGTCATAAACTTATTCCATATCTGAGGACCCAAATTTGTAACTCACCCACCTTTGCAGAACTCTAAAATGAATAACAATAGCTAACATTTATTTGAGTATTTGCCATGTGCCAGACTCGGTACTGGGCAGTTTGCTTGTATTAACTCACTTCAAACTCAAACAAGCCTCTAAAATATGTTCTTCTTATCCTCACTGAATAAAGGAAGATGCAGAAACACAGACTGGCAGAGTCACTGGATCAAGATCACAGAACTAGGAAGTGGCAGACCCAAAAAGCCAGCCCACCCATGGGGCCACTGCCATTCTCTGTCCTTCTCGTTACCTGGATCCCAAATGCATGTTAAAATTCACATCTATCAGTTTTCTTAGGTACCAAGAAGTCCCCTTCCAGAATGCAAGACAGGGGACCAATTTCATGGGTCTCTTTGTGATCCTGGGTTCAGAGAGGGAGCTCCCCAGAAGTAGACACACACTGTTCTAAAATAATCTCTGCTCAGGAACATTCAGGAAGAGATGACAAGATTAGAAGGTCTGGCCACGTATCTATGAGAATGGGCCAGGACCATCTGTAAACATCTGGAAGCCATAAACAGCAGGGGAAAGGGAACAATCAGGGCTGTCCAGTGGGGCATGGAAACACATAACCACACATACACACTCACACGCCTGCCTATAATCCTGTCC